AATGGAGAATCCGTGCGGGACAATGGCGGCGTCCTGGATCGAGGGGTCAAGCCAAGTCTCCGTGAAAACCATAACGTTACAGTTCTTAATGTCCCGTTGAAATGCCATCCTGCTTCGGAGTTCATCCAGCTTATTATCCAGGGATTAGACATTTGCCAGAAGTAAGCTCGGTAGAGGAGGCCGGTTTTCGCGTTTTCCCAGCCTGACTAGGACCCCGGCCCGGGATCCTCGCCGTCTTTGTCTCCTGCACCCCCCAGGTGAAGCGCCAACAGGTAACCACGGAAACTCGCCTTTGTTATTGTTTGCTGGTCGCGGTGGTTTTTTGCTGTTTGCCAGGGACCTGATGAGTAGAAGTTGTTCTCTATCATATTGAATGATAGGGCTCGCTTGGGCGGTTTGCATGCTTCAAAAAAGTTAAAAATAGACTGAAAAAGTACAACATAAAGACACTAGAAATGAGGAGTTGGTGAGGAGCTCGAGACACAGCAGCCATCCACGGCGCCAGTTACAAGCAATCCAATAATTACCTATATCTAATATATCTAACATCACAATTTACAACTGAAACAACAAACACTTCTCAAGTATGTGCAAAGGTGTTTCATATTCACACCACTTTTGCCATAAGAAAAGTATTTCTTTTTTGGAGAAGCTGATTCAGATGGTATTACAATGACTGGTTGGAACACCCAACTTCAATAAAATGGACCAATATAAGGTTTGTCAGGAGTGTTTTTGTTTGAATGTGTCTATTTTTATTCACCCTGGGACTACAGATCTTAGAATATTTCCTATTAAGTTCCAATGAGCCTAATCCTTTGCCACTGTTTTTTATGCATGCAGTTTTTCTGTTTTATTTGTTGATAAGTTGATATGTTGAATTATTCCTGCTATTTGACAGGAATAGTGCATTGTTGTGGAAAAGTTTCTCTCTCTTCTCAAATGTGCATTATCACACAATATTAATGTAAAAGAACATTAGCTGATTCTGAAGTAGGGACCATCTAGAAGGAAGGAAACAAGTCTAAATGTTAAGAGGGGCTGTTGGACAGGTGAACCTAGGTGCAAACACAGGAGAAGGTGTAAGGTATTTATTGCCAGGCTGCAGTTTAGGGAGAGCTGGAGCTGGTAGTGGGGAGCCAGGAGCTTTAGGCTGAGGCAGGAGCGATGATGGTAGGGGTGACAGGTCCAGAAGGTTATCCAAGGACAAAAAGTTTGTAACCAGGTAATTGACTGTGAGCAGGGACCGTAGCCAGAACAGGAGGAGCTGGAAGGGAAATGGAGAAAAGAGTGAGGTTCAGGAAACAAGGGCTAAATGCTAAATAGCAAACACAAGTAACACTAAATGGGTTGAAGTGTAGCAACACTAACTGGTAGCAGAGACTACGATCTGACAGCATGGAGGTGGACAGGCTTTGTAGTTTGCTATAGTCTCCTTTGATCCACTAGAATTTTACCATTGTGCATCACATGATTCCACTGTGATAGTGATTTGTATCTGATGTCTAATGCAGTAGAAATGTATGGAAAATGGAGAGAAGGGTAAAACCAACAGTGAGAGACAAACAGGTTTTGAGAGGAAAAGCATAGCAGCAGTTACATCAGAACTGCTGTTTAATCTGCTCTGCCTGTGTTCTATTTTTCGACAGAAGACCAAATTTATGATTTCAATCACCACAACCGTACAAAGAAGAATGCTCATCAGGTTTTCAAATAAAAACTAATCAGGGGAAGGCAGTGCATCCCTGCAAACATTATCTCCTCTTTGCCAACAGCCTTCTTCTGAAGGATACTTTTTTCCGCATCCGTGTTTGAAAATAAACAGACTGCATTTGCGTTGGAAATAGCAGGAAGAAGAGAACTTTGAGAGCATTAGGAGGTGGAAAGGAGACTTGACGGAGTATGGAAGAAGCAGGGTGTTCTTTATGTCTCCAAGTCAGCAGGGCGGCACAAGATTTTGTCTCCCAGAGGAAGGAATTCTTTTTGGAAATCTAATTTACTTTGCTTACCTTGACAGTGTTTTTCACAGTTTCACAGACCTATTGGATGAATCAGCTTTTGTTGGATATTTTGCATTTTTATTTTTTATAAAAGTGAGGTTTTTACCCATGTTATTCTGCAATTTTATTCTTTTGTTTGAATAGGTTTGTTCATGCTTAGTCCAGAGCTGTCCTCCAGGAAATGTGTCAAAGAAGTGTGTGTGTGCGTGCGTGCATGCGTGCGTGTATGAGCAAACAAAGTCCATTTGCCATTTGCATCGTGCTTAAATCTGTTTACATCCTCCAGTTCCTAATAGTTTATTTTTATGTCTGATCCCTCAGTTGATGGCAGCTGGGGAGAGTGGAGCGAATGGTCACTGTGTAGTTCAAGCTGCGAAAGGCAGCGCAGCAGAGAGTGTACGGCCCCGGAGCCCAAACATGGAGGACGGCTGTGTGACGGGGTGGCGCTGGCTACAGACAACTGCACCGGCGGCCTTTGCACACAGAGTGGGTAACATCACCACCTCTCTCCATGGTTAAGAATTGGAAAAACGTTGTTAAGGATCATTTATGTGCACGAGGGGCTGCTTCATTATAGATTTACTGTTCATAATTTCTGGCAGTGTGGGCTAGATCATGATGGCCATTATGATTGCACTCACTACCAGAAGTCTCATTCATCTTCATTCCTTTATTCCCCTCCACATACATAACAAACAGTACGTACAGACTATAAAATATATATGTAAATATTAATATGATAAGCAAACGCATGTATTAATTAAAATGGTCATGGAGAAACTGTCAAATTTTGATATTTCTGTCTTTGCAGATCGAAAGTTGCTCCATGATGCAAAGCCACAAGGTGAGTTTCTCTTCAGCTTCCATTTCTTATCTTCTTGTTGGGATGAAGGGGGAGGGTTAAATGTTAGCTAAGCTATACAGCCCTTGAAAATGAGATTTGCTACACGGAGGGCTATGAGAATTTCCCAGAATGCCTTGCGAATCATCAGCAAGATGGGAGAGAGATCCACAAATTTAGTATTTTTTTCCATTACTAAGGATTTAAATATTACGACAATGATTGTAATATCTTTCAATGTATCATGGCAATTTTTTTCAGAATAACCTTAAAAAACTGTTAGTATGCTAACGTTACATCTTTATCGCATGATAATCCCATATTTTGACCTAATTCCATGTCGCACTCCTCCTCTCTGAAGATACACGGTGCACTTAATAATGTATAGCAGTGATGTTACTGAACTTAACTGCTCCTTAATGCAGCCTGAGAGGGTTGCCTACAGACCACTGCTAGCAGCAGCTTTGAGCTTTTGATATATACGTGAAATAATACAGAGCATCCAAGCATTTCAATTTCCATTGGATGAATGGCAAAAGTCATTGATTTGCCTGCATTAGCACAGATGTTATTAGGATATCATATACTTGTCAAGTAACTGCAAGCAAAAGGATTGTTGTATTTAAGATCTCAACAATGTTATTACAATGACATCCCTAGAAAAACTTTTTGTCGCATCTGTTTACATCATTATGTCATTTTCGTGACCACTTCGAATGACGTAACAGCTTCTTGAACTGCTGTCCCAATTCGCAGGGGAAGATTTCCACCCCTTGTAACTACGTTTCAAGGGGGTGGGGTTAGGGGTAAGGAGAAGGGGTGAAATTGGATTGGTCCTTACTTTTCTGTTCTTCTCTTTCGATTGCTGTATGGCCTCTTAGCTTGAAAACCAGCTATATGTGTCCTAAGCATTAAATGATCTTGCTAGCATCATTTAGTCTTTGTGAACACAAACCTGATTATTTGTGAAAGGGCAGGAAAGTCAGAGGTCACAAGTGATACCAAATGACGCATTTTATTATTTATAGGTGTGAACACACGTACTTATGTCTGTCTACCAGTGATCAGATCTATCAGGGCGCATGTAAATACAAGGACTAAACAGGGCTTAAGATAAAGTCCATGTCTGACAAGGGTAGACCCTGTACAATATTTGAATTTATAGGCCTGACAAGCTAAACCTAGCACACTAAGTGTGACAGTAGCCATTTGGGCTAGTTTAGCACAGTGAACTGGCAGCTTATCCTAGGAAATCATTCTAATAATTGTACCCTAAGAATAAACAATCCTTTTTAATTATAATGATTATAATGCTTAGCAAGTAGCTGTGGTGTTAAGAGGAACAAATTGCTGTGACAGGTGTTGTCCTGGAAAAATGACTCTCTTCATGACTCATTGTGAATTTGCCCAGACTTAAAATAGACATTCTGTAGTTGTAGATGTCCCGCAGGTAAAATTCATCATGCATGAATAATGAGTGGAAAATACAGGTAGTATTTCAGTTAATTGCTGGAATGTATTTTAGCAGGATAATAAGAGACATGAATTTCTATTAAAAGCATCCAATTTCCAAGCTGGTTATGATTTTGGTGACAGAGAGTAGACATTTCTCACTTAACTGCCACTGAAACATTGAGGCAGGAGCCTGTGATGGTTAATGAGTGTTTTCTTCCAACATCGGCATTCACTCCCTATTCACCCTATTTAGTGCTTTTAATGGTCTTTAAAGTGTAAATCCACCCCTATGTTTGACTACCTCTAGAATTCCATCTCTCTCTGCCCCTCACACTCTTTGAAACACCAAGCGGTGTTATGAGCTATACATTTGGCAATTAATGCAATATTTAGGCATCACTGTATTTCATCATAGAACAATCATATAATCTAGTTTACAGCTCAAAAACATTGTTCTGTAAGAGTAACTGAAGCAAAATAACAATTAAAGTTCATGAATTGTTATGTAATCTTCACCATCATTACCTCAGTTTTTCTTCTGTGCCAGTGCACATCACATTTCTATATTAATATTATTATATGTGATATATCTAGTAAAGAATTTCAAGCCAAGCAGCCTGTGGTTTACCACTATATATTCATCTCTTTTGTATAATTGCTGTGTAGGCTAATGGGCCATTTATGTGTTGATTACTGCTGCATAGTTTGTGCAGTGAAAAATCAATTTTCTACCTACCAAGCCACAGGCGCATGTTTCTCCTTACTTGTCCTTTAACACAGTTGTGTTTTTTGGTTTGTCAGAAATGGGAGAAAATAATCCAGCCAGGCAGCCAAAACTTCCCAAGCCCTCAATTAACCCTCTACTGTAGCTGTTAATGCCACTTTGCATATTTTGTCAATTTCTTCTAATTTGATCTTCAGGTTACTTAGAGGATTTCTCAGCATGTCCTGTTTCAGCATAGATCTCATTATCTTTCAAGAACAAGCTAGCAGTCTCTTTATTTCCCACTCATTCTTTTTCTGCGTGGAGTCGGACGCGGCAGCACTGGTGGGACCAGATAGTGCATAATCATCGCCAATGAGCTAATTTAATGAATTGGTTTTGTCACATTATCCCAGTGGAACACTGAACGCCTCCAACACCAGAGCCAAACAGTGTGTTTGAAATGACAGTCAGGTGCTGGGTTGATTATATCGCCTTCCTTCCGAGGTTCCTCATTAGTTGCTTTAACGCTGGAGGATGGAACAATGAAGCTGTGTATCAGGAGGCAGGGCAGATATGGTACAGAAAATGAAAAGGCGCTAAACAAAAGTTTGAAACAAAGATACAAAAGTTTGAAATAAAGATAGACTCCCCTCCTATGAAAGACTCTCTCGACTTTAACTCAGCTGATTTACCGCAGCAACACAGATTTTATTTTGGGGAGGAAATGCTTATTAAGCAGACCTCGAAAGCTGGAGACAAAAAGTCAGTGAAAATGTGCTTCTCTCTCACTCACTTTTGACTCTCCAAGGTGTGGAGAACAGCAGTGATGTGGCCTTGTATTCGGGCCTGGCAGCGGGCGTGGTGACGGTGGTGCTGCTTATCGTCGCTGTCACGCTTTATCGAAGAAGCCAGAGCGAGTACGGTGTTGACGTCATCGACTCATCCGCCCTCACCGGAGGCTTTCAGTCGTTCAGCTTTAAGACTTCTCGCCAAGGTGAGCTCATGACTTGTCTTTGTCTTATGAATCATAAAATGTCCTATCTCACTGTGAACATTAGGCTTCCCATAAAATATTTCTAACTATACTATATCCAAGACTATACTAAATACTACACAAACGCTCCTATTTCCAAACTGGATTGTAACATAAGACGAGGGGCAAAAGAAAGAACAATAATACAAATTAGTATAAATAGAATGACTTATAGGGCAGCACCAAGTGTAAAGTATAAATTGCTCTCAAACTTCTGTAAATATAAGTATCTCGCACAAAATAGTTGAAAGAACAGAGTTCAGATGAATTCTGCATCCACACCTTCAGAAACAAAAGTTTTGTTTGTCTAACCCTATAATAAAATGATAATAATGGAAGCTTTGGTTCCAAAATCAGACACCAATCATTTATTAAGCCAGCTCCCAATATTCTGATGGAGGACACATCCTGAGGGAGGACATCTTCCATTTTCCACTGTTTTTTATTCAGAATATGCAGATTAGTTTACCAGTGTGGCGTGTAGAAAAGCAAGTTGTGTTGTTAATTTGCTGGAGTCTGCTGTCATTTTGGATGATTTAATTAATTGATTATGAAATGCATGCTGGTTAACGCGTGCATAATTACACCCCATAAATTAGAAAGTGGAGTTGAAATACAATTATCGTTTCTGCCGCTATGTGATAGCTATGTAACCACAGGTATTTCTGTAATACCACCTGTGATTCAACACAGACTTTTGCATCGTCTCACTTACATACGCTTTTTAAACATTGTCAAGTTAATATCCGATTTTGAGGATGTCTGTTTTTGCACCCTCACCATCTAGAGCTGTATATATGAAAAATGTCTGCACTTGACTTTGCAACAAGAGGTTTGTTCAAGAGCTTTTTAAAATGAGGACCAAAATTGCACCACCTAATTTGCATGAATAAGGCCTCAGCTGCGGCACCACACTCACCTTTCAACGGATGTGTTTATTTTAGCGTCTAAAAAAAAAAAGTTGATACCAATAACAAGAACTGTGATTTAGAATCCAGAAAATTACAAGTATATTCACTGAGGTGATTGCCGCATTTATTAACTTGTATGATGTGAACGTTGTATAAAAAGTGATGAGTTTATTTTACAATGCACAGCTGCTTAGCAAAACCAGATTTAGCCATAAGCTCATTTTAAAATATAACATTAAAACACAGCAGCTGAAAAACAATAGAATACAGTGTGACAGCAGAAAATCACAATAAAGCCACAACATTAGGTCACCACTAAAACAACAACAGGATTTCACAACATTAGGATCAACTGTCTGAGTTTATGTTGATTATTTCAATCTTTTGAAATTGCTTTAAGACTGAAATTGCAATCATGCAATTTCATTAGTTTGACGCTTGAGCATCAATAGACAAAGCAACTTTAACAATCTACATTCTACATATTTTATACAGAAACACACTCAAATACTTGATTACCACCTGCAGCATGGATTGAGCAGGATGCCACAATAAACAACATGTGGCTCTGGTTTTATGCACTTTATTCAAATACTGTAAATGTACTCAAATATTAATATCACTGTGTAGCCTTTAAACTCCACAACATGCAAGTTTTGTACTTGTATGTATTTTTGTATATATATAAATTATGCATACATTTCTTCGTATTGTGATATAGCTGCATCAATTATTAAAATGCTTTAGGGGCCAGGATGACTGGTTTCAATTTCTCAATTTGTTTGCCTTCTGGAGATTTGTGCTGCCTGGGCTTGTTGTCGTGCGCTAACTGTCCAATAACATACAGTATAAAGCGTCATCTGGAAAGCACACTGTGTATTTATCGCTCTATTGCAAACATTTGTTTGCCCAAAGCAATAAACAGGCACTGAAAAGAAATATGGTAACAAAGACTGTTTCCATTATAAACAAATTCACAATTGAACTCATCTGTTATTACTGGGACCTTCTTTAGTAGTGTCGTAAAGCAAAACCGGCCGAACAACCTCCTCAGGGCAGTGTGTCACTTTGTGGTTTGGGTTTTATTCTATAGTACATACAGCAAATATTCAATCAATGATTCATGATACCAAAATGAAAAACTGGAGTTTAATTCTGTTTTCATTTATTTTCAACCCAAATGTTTCCAGACACCGAAACATCAGAGCTGGGAAATGTGTAGTGGTTTGCCCAGCATATTTGTGACGAGGCTGGCATTACAGGTCGCCACAGCAACAGATCTCAGCAGGGCATAATAAAAAATAATTTTGATAACACAGCAGGAGGAAGAGAAAGCTTTAATCTTTGTCCCTGTTCTCCTTGATAGAGAGACTAAAAGAGCTAAACCTCCCAGCTATAGCTACAGCAACATATCCCTGAAGCTGGATATATGGATGTGAAGAAAACCGTAAATATTCATATCATGTGAAGTAAATAAATACATCCTGAAATTCAATAACAAATTTAAACCAGTGTGACATGAAATTGAAGAATATCACTTCATTGACATTAGCCATTCTCTCACTTATTTTCAACTGAGACATTGGAACAGTAAGGTATGCCATCCTTGTTTCCATGGTGAAGCAATTACAGCAGGTGGATAAAGACTAATTGTCGTGAAATACCCTTTAAATTCTTAATTGTTGTCATTAGTGGCAGTTTAGTTTAAATTGTCACAATCCAGAAATATAATTGTTTCTTAAAGATGTCTAATTGACAGTATGCTTTTCCTCTGTGTGTTTTCCAGCAAACCCCCTGCTGATTAATTCATCCCTGCAACCTGACCTGACAGTGTCGCGCACCTACACCAGCCCCATGTGTTTCCAGGACTCCATCGACAAGGAGCTGATGGCCGAGCGCTCGCTCCTCGACCCGTTACCAGATCTCAAGGTCAAAGGTCAGAAAATAAAACTGTTATGAAAGCCTGTCTCTGTGGTTGTCAGCTACTTGTGGACTTACAGAGATGTGTACAGCTCTGCAGTTGCAGTCAGAGGGATAAGCCGTTTGGATTTAACCTGTTTTCCTCCCAAGGCAATCTCTAAGAAAGAGCTCAGACAAAGAAAAATAACAGTCATGACCTTGGAGGGCATCACAAATTGACCATTTGCTAAGCCACATCCCGCTTGGTTACTGTTGCTTCATCTGTAAAGCTCTTTACTGTGACATGGCACATGTTCACTTTGCAACGACAACAGTGGCAGAGTTTCAACTCAACCATTTATGGTAATTTTAGAAACAATGGATCATCGAATTCAGAGACAGACAAAAAGAAGTCTTCTCACTTTGAGATAGTGACCTTCCATTTCTGTAGACAGCACAGTAAGTTGCTGTCAGCTTAATGAATTGGTTTCAAAAGCTCTGGCAGACTTTCTAGTGTTTCCTGCCAACGCGTTGGAAAACAGCAGTTCTGTGAAAAGTAGCCTTGATATCATGTTAAAAGACATGGGGACACAGAGAAAAAGAAACTGATGGTTGAAAACAGAAATCATCAAGATCTCGCAAAAAGTTTTGCGACATGGACTGCGTGGACAGTCACTAAGTAAACTTCTGCATGTCCCTTTCAAGGCTCCGTAAAAGACTGAGGCTAAAGCAAAGTTAGCATCTTCACCAGTTGATGATCCATGTGGGAAAAATGTTAATAGAGAAACAGCATTTCCTTGTATTGCCCGTAGCCTGTAAATAAAAATGAGCAACACACTTCCACTTCCTCTCACAATGCAGAAATGAAGCCAAAATATCAAGAATATGACAGTGGATGGAGCCGCGGTATCTAGGTCTCCCTGATACACACGCTTTACAAATCAAGAATTATTTTGAGCTGTCAATCGTGACATATACAACCCTGCTTTCATAGCATCAAATAACTAATTAAAACCAAACTTATTAGACAATGAACAGTTGAACATGCATCAGTGTGATGAGAGCAGAAACCATCTCTAAGAGAAAGATATATTTTGACTTTTTAATTTGTTCCAAGTCCCATTCACTAACATGGAGAAGGCAGGGTTTAGGATTTATACTGGATCCAGCACTGAGAGGCTTAGAAAGGCTGTGGCTTCACTTTTGGGGACCTGTTGTGTCGTCTGTATATACATTATATACAGTCTATGGTACTGCCATGTAGGTAGATAAGAAAATGCTTATAGATTGTTTTTTCAACATGTATTTTTCACATCTCTTCTCTTTGTTCAGGAGTTTACATAGTATTTTATCTCTGATCTCAAGTTCGTGATTTGAGTTTGTTTAACTGTGAGTCACAGCTGTCTCACTGTTTCTCCAGGGGTGGCAGAGAGGGCAGAGTACCACGTCATGTCCCACCCTCAGACATTTCCACGGGGCCTGGCTCCAGACTACAGAGGAGTTGCAGTGGGGACGACGCTGGGCAGGAGAAGCAAAAACCTCTTCACTCCGCAGGTCTCTCTGACTCCCAGCAGGCCTCTCCACAAAGCTACAGCAGTGTTTGGCCACACTGGAGGCAGGCTGGTGGTTCCTAACACAGGTGGGCCTGCTGCAGGGGCAATGTTCTTTCAATATGTTCCTGAACAAGCGCTGAAATCTCTACCGTGAAAAAGAAAAAGCTTTAAAACAGCAGCAGAGATGACACAGAGCATCTGTTATTGCATTTTGAAGTTGTTTGACCTTGTCAGGGTTGGTCTGGAGCGAAAATGTGAAAATGTCATCGATCGCCCGAGTAACACGATTATTTACTGCAGTTAGACAGCATTGGCATTTTCTCACCGACCGATGAGTCCTGACAAACCCAATCTGCAGAGCATGGAAAGTGTTTCTAACCGCACAAGATACATAAATGGGAATGTTTGACAAGATGAATTAATTTTAAGCAGCATCGTTTTTAACATTTTAAAACCCTACTGTATAATATGAAGAAAACATTAGCAGGTTATGTAAAGTAAACCTGTGATGCTCAGTCTACCACATTATTCAGCTGCCGCTTTCCCGTGGCCTACATTCATCATCCTGTCCCTTGAGGGGCTTTATCTACTGCAGCGTAGATTGACAGTAATTGTTCATCATACAGTAGAATATTTTGTGTATGTATGCGCCTGTGTGTTTGTGTGTTGTGACAAAGAGACTGTTGGCAGCATTGATTCACAAGGCCTTTGGGACTTGCTTCCATCACCTTTTTCTGGGGCCATCACCTCTCTGGTTGTCACCCTCAGTAGAGAGACCTGACAGCCAAGCAGGTGTGTGTGTGTGTGTGCGTGTGTGTGTGTGCGTGTGCATTTCTAGCTTTGTGTTGATCACTTTTTGCATACCACCTTCTCTGCAGGCATCAGTCTGCTGGTGCCTCATGGGGGGATCGCAGAAGACACTACCTGGGAAATGTACATGATCATCAACCAGGAGGACAGCAGGTGAGAGATTCTCACAGAGATGGTTCAATCGGTTTCTAACGCTGCTCCCTTTTAATCTTCAAACCCGCTCTCATCCCCCTACCTGCCACATCTTCTCCTCCTCTCCCGACCGAACATGCGCCGCGAACATGCACGCAGGCCCTCACATATGGCGAGTACGCGGATACATGTGCGTATACGCGAATACAGATTCAGACATATTCCCGCCCAGCATGGGGCTCTTGCGCATCTTGCAGAGACTACAGGGGAGGACATGTGTCTCAAACACATCGGCAGCTGCAGACAGATAGCATTATTGCCTTAAGCAACCATCTCAGCAGAGGAAGATGCACTCCATGACTCTGGTGGCCTGTTTTGTGTTTGTAGACATAACTGACAATATCTCCCTGCATCCTGACTGGTTAGAGAGGGGGAATTGTGAGCTTTGTCAACTCCTGATGATGGGTGATTCTGATTTGGGCTTTGGTTTGATGGGATGGTGCAGTCTGCTGGGTGACTGTTGCCTGCCAGCAGGAATCTACTTCTTTCTTAGCAATCAAGATTTTCACAGAGCTGTTAGTCAAGGAGAAAATGGAATAGATAAGAACTGTTTGAAAAGGAGTCTAATACCTTGAGTTCTTTTGCAGCAGAGCCTCAAAAGCTATCTCACATCAAGAAATCCATTTTGGGACATGTTAGTGATTCATGGTCGACAGTATCAGATTATCAGCATGTTTGTGTGAATCCTTGCTACCAAGGTATATAACTAACAACACTGTCTGCAGGTCTCCAGAAAAACCAGCAGAGCTCCAGTACAATGGTCCTGTAAAACTACAACATGTCTATTTAGCAGCACCTCTCATTAGTCTGGTTTGCTGCTCTTGGATGGACACAGTATTAGAGACAAATAAGAAATATATTAAAAACTGGTATTTTAATGAGCAATAAACACTCATTGATGATTGTTTTTTGCTATTATTAGAATTTGAATTATTTCACAATTAGAATTTATTTCAGGGACCTCCTGAGACATGGAAATTGTTTCAAAGCTCCCCCTACAGGCTCTCAGGGGAGTTCATAACCTTTTGAGGGAAGCCGACCTCCCCTTAGCTTCCCTGTAACCATAATTATTGTATTTTATTTGTTTTTCACTCTCATGTATTTATGTCTTTATTTTACTTGTGTCAACTCGTGTTATGTTTTGTGTTCACGCTGTGCACATAGTTTTTCTGGCCTTAACTTCTGTCATAACTCACGTTTTCTGCATTCACATTGTGCCAATTCAAATAAAATGTGCTATTTAAAAAACATTTGCTATCATGGCTAACTACCTCTTGATGAAATTCAATCTCATCATCCAGGAGAGCATCAAAAAGGACATTTAGTGCCATCTGAAATTCATCTGTCATGTCAACTCCATTAGGTGCCACAGTCATTTGGGTGAAGCTACAGGTCATAGGTTCACAGCTCAGTTAGCAGGCTGGTTGTACACTCCCCTGCCCAGAGTATCCTCATTTCAGCCAAGCTGCTGCTCTGCAGGCTCCTGCTTTGCTCTGATAAGCCTGATGCTGTTTACTTCTCCGGCTGTCGTTTAAGAAGCTGCAGGAGCCGTGCACCACTGAGCTGTCAGTCAAAGCCTATCTTCTGACAGCCGCCAAGTCCAGAGGAGAAATTGGATCCTTTCTTCCCATTCAAACCTCAGCCATCTACATAAGACGTTGCTTTCCTCTGCAAAGAATAGGAATCGATCGGCTCTGGCTCAGTTTCAGGTGTTCACAAGGGCTTTCGTCCATCCAATGGACTTTACAAGATTATTTTGTGTGTGATCTCTCCCAGCTCAGTGGGGGACAGTGGATAGTCCAAGGACAGAGATGTAGTGTGTAACAAATTTGCCCGAAATGATGCGACACAAGGTTGAGTGAAGGTGCTCAGCAGGCGACTTTTGGGTCTTCTTTTCAAGGAGGCCCTTCTATAACTTATTCAGTTATTTTCTGCTGGTTTTACCTGTGTTGACCAACTCTACCTTGTTCAGATACTTTTAAAGATCCCCATGAATTCACTTTCAAGGCTGTCTTAATTTTTTGGCCACTAGGGGAGAGTTCAATAATTCATGAAAACCTGTTAACTGTGGACTCTGGTTAGAATTCTGTCTGGGCTCATCACTGAGTGACACCCTTACACCACAGATGACTGACGAATAATCATAACAGATTTATTTAGCACCTAGAAAAATGAGAGTGAAGATAAAACAAATCCAGGATAGAAAATAATAGTAGAAAATGAAGCTGGTTAATGAAAACAGGAGGTCGAAAGCCTTTGTGAACAGGTGGGATTTAAGGCTGGGTTTAGGTATCCTGGGGAATTGACACATGTATGTATTTCATTGAAGCCATCCACTGGTTATATTGAGTGGTATATGGAAAAAAAGTGAGCTCACATTATTTTACACTTCAAAGTCTGTTTACAAGTCCGGGGGGGGGGGGCTTTATAAAACCAGAGGGTAGTGTGTGAAATCAGAAATGTCCTCAGGTGAAGTCACTTTTTATTGGCTACCTGCCTAGCATAAGATATTTACACAAAGTATGTATAGTCTGAGTATAATCAATTAATAATTCAGTACTGAATGAAAGGGATCTTTCTTCGGTAGAAATGACTGCAACAATGTTTGATTTGTGTTCTTTGGATTATATCCAGACTCACAGAGACTGTGTTTCATTGTTTTGAAATTCCATCTACTGATGATACGCATGTCTCAGTAATACTAGTTCATCGCTTGTTTATTTGTGAGATGGAGAACTGGTCCTTTAACTAAAAATATTAAATATTCCTCTTCTAAAGCTTATAGTTCTGTAGCTATTTTTCTCAATACAGCTGTGACAGACTGTCAAACACTGATGAGGCTTTGCCAAAATGTTAATTTTTAATTGTGGTCTGAGGATCCATGACAGTCACGCTTGAAAGTGATAAAGTGAAAGAAGCATGTTTTCGCACAGCACAAATGGGACTGAGTTAACTAATATCCCCGTCTACCACCTACTCTTTAATCACCATCCTGGAGTCATGTTTCTTTGTTCTCACACGCACAGTTAGAGATGCTAAATAACCATCTTTAAGCTTTGCTCATGGGCAATGTGGCTAATTAGCATAGTCTGAGCAGCAGGTAACCTTGGTTTCCTCTGAGCCTGGGGCTGATTAGCACTAAAGTGCAGCTGCAGGGGCACAGTGCTGTCTGATATGCGATTTCAATTTTAGACAGCGGATCATAACCTCTTTTAATTTTTCAGTGTTGATTGGTAGCAGCATAACGGAAAAAAATGTCTCCCACACCAGTCGCCAGCAGAAACTGTTAAATCAGCATCATCCACAGTGTGCTGCATGGGAACGCTACCCACACACCCCCAACTGTGTCTTATTCATAAAACATGTCATGGCATGTAGAATAGACTAGTATAGAATGGAATAGAATAGACTAGTATAGAATGGAATAGAAAGTACTTCTCCAGTGTTGTTATGTTTACATCTTTTTGACCTTTAGTGAAATAAAATAATGGAAGTATCCCAACTTTAATTACCACAACCTGTGCCAATTGAATGCTGCATAGAACATACTGATTACCTTCATAGTCTCATTAGTTTGTCACATATCAGGATTATGCAAAAACTACTCATTTTGTGGCAGGCTGGGGCACGACCCATTTAATTTAGTTGTGGATCCAGGATTTCTTTTTTCTTTAACATTGTTTTTAAACCTTCTTTTTGATTTCTCAGAGAATAATTCATGGATTGATGAAAAAAAAAATCTGATGTGTGTGCAGTTTGGTGCAGATCCAGATCTGATCTAGTTAATAAAATAATTGTTGATGAAGTGATGAGTTGATTAAAAAAAAAAGAATTCTGGCAATTATTGTGATAATAATTGTTTCAATGGCCGAGCTGGTTTCTCTCTAATGTCCATCTATTTTCTGAATATCTTTGTTTTACATACTGACGTTGTGTGTTTTAAGATTTGTCACTTTTCCAAACTACAAATTAAACCTGCTTATGAATTTATATGGAAATTGGACACAGCTATTGAATTGTTTATGTACGAAGTGGTACAGAGTATGTGTACACATAAAAAATGTAGCCTATTGAAATTATACCTGCACTGTCTAATTCATTCTCACTCTGTTTGACTTTATATTCCTACATACGTGTGGGTGCATGCACATGACTTAATATTCCTACATTATTGTGGGTGCATCCACACTTTACACATTCATGAAACATCTGTGTTCAATCAATGATGCTGAGATATATCCATGCTGCTCCAGTGACAACAGCAGCTTTCTCTTGTCCTGTGCATGTGAGGTGTCCAGCCAGGCCAGATTCATGACTGATGGTGGTCCCATCGATTGCTCTCGGTCCTCACGGCTCCCCGCCAAAATTAGGCCCCTGGCCAAGAGCAGCTTGGCCCAGCTAATCTGTCACCGGGCCGGCCAGAGCAGGCTTCATAAGCTCCATCGACCCACAAAGCTTACACGCTGTGTGCTAAAGCCTGTCCTCCCCAGCCCCACTGTCCATTAGTCTTGGTGCTTTAATCTTCCTCTATCTGTGAGTGTGTGTCAGCTAGTCAGGGGTTGATTCATTATGAGTGTCCAAGGATTTGAGTTTACTTTGTTCAGAGGCAGGGGTCACACTCTGCTATCTGAATGTTTGATTAAGCAGTGATTAATTATTCGTGAGAGTCTTATTCTTGTGTTCCTACAAAGATTTTAATGAGAAATGAAACGGACGTGTTTGTGTTATTATGACATTTGCGATAATATTTGCTGTTAATATGTGATTTCCCTCCGTGTGCAGTACCTTGTTCGAGGACGGGCCCGAGATCTTTTTGAGCCCTGCAGTCACGTATGGACCACCAGGCCTCGACCTGTCCTGTCCCATAGCCATGACCATAGCCCACTGTGGGGAGGTTGCCGCTGACAATTGGACCATTCGGCTAAAGAGACAAATGCAGGACAACAAGTGGGAGGTGAGCGTTTTCTCCTAAACTTCAGCTGCTGTGCAAATTGTGTGGTAACGTCCATGCAGAATGTTAACACATGTGGAAATGCACAACTTTCACCAGCACCAGGAATATCAATATGATCTGATAACCTGCGACGACTCATTTCGATGAAAATTTTCATCCTGCAATGTAGTCATGCGAACACGGAGCCGATTTCAGGGTTGCCAGCTCGGATTCATCATCCTGCATAAAAATTCAGCCTTTCAAGCGCAACCTCATGCTGTCGTACATCCAAAAGTAATGTCAGAGCGAAGGCAAATGACGGCTATTAGTCACTGAGACATTCATTTCTTTTCCAGTTTAATTATAATTGTAGTTTAAATTGCTTTTCATTTCATAAAATTCTTTTCATAAATATGTGGATTCTGAATTGTAGCTGCTCCTAAATATTGAGCATAAAAAGCTACATTGCAAGGATTAACACACACAATCACATATATACTTTGTAATATGTCTTTTTCATTTTGTTTTTGGCATAATAGCAAACATAAATCAGAAAATTTACAATTTAATACATCATCAACATCATAGTCTGTTTAAACATGGAACACAACTTCAATGCAGTAAATGAGTGAGGCTTCACTCTGAGAAATCTCAGATCTTTACTCAGTAAATGCTGCATAGACACTGAGTCATCTTGTCCTCTTAAATGACCGGTGTTTATTGCCCACTGGGAAAATGTCCACAACCTTTTGATACTTTTGGATTATTTATATAAGTAGCACTCAGAGCGGCTTTATTATCACCATGACATAGAAATCTCTCTCTGCAGTATGGGACCTTTAAACCATTTAACACTATTCGTCGAAATGTTTCATAGATCTGTGTTTACTGCGGGGAGGTTTTTGTTTTTACCTCTTTCGGTAAATTAACACTTGTGAAAAGTCCCTCAACTGTGCCCTGTAAGAGCTACTTTACTCTCACAGAGGACTTGTTCAGACATCTCACTTCAATCCAAACACCCTCTATCCATTTTTCCTTTTCAATCTTGGCAGAGTACACATATTTAGGATGCTCCTTTAATGTTAAAGTAACCTCATCGAAAAGTGTTGGGGACCACTTCAAGGCAGACTGACCCCGGCGCCACTATGTGTGCCTGACCTTGGAAGGCCAGTGGCTCTCTTCGAGCCTGGCCGTTTCTCTCTGCGTGGCATTTGCACAGATGTAATTTGCCAGCAGACATGCTGGACAAAGGGGAGCTATCAAAAGAGCCATCACTGATGGGAGTTATATGCCATCGGAAAGGAGAGAATAGCAGAGGGAGTCAGCGGAGGGGACAGACAGAGAGATACAGACAGACTGTTAAAGAAGAAATGTGCTCCATGAAAATGCAACGGCGTGACCCGTCTCTGTCACTGTGAAATAATGAGCCCTTTATCTCAGGAAGGATGCTTACTCAAACCCTAATCTCTGGAATTAGTGATATAATGGAAGATGGAGGTCTGCCTTCCTCTCTTTCCTTCTCACTCCCCTTTTCTTTCACTCCGTCTGCCTCTCAGTGCCATTTCCATTAAAGCTTGTACTTTTGTACTGCAAGAGTTCGACTCCATCATTTCTCCGTGGCTGCCTGGCGGGGATGAGCTATGTCATGGAGATCCTTCATGTCTGCTGGTGCACTAATGGGGCAGGTTAACGAAGCTGCTGGCCACTAAATTACCCTGCGTTGTTTTATATATATTCAACCAGGCCATATGCAGCGGGGACCTGTGGGTCACAGTTTTGTTTCAAAAGAGATTTAGGGAGCATGAGCTGACGAGCAATCTGCCACTGGACACAACTGCACCCTGCTAATTCATTTTGTCAGCCTAACTGTATCCCCATCTGTTTAGTGAGGTGGGTCATGATTCATTGGACCCTCGTTCTATTCAGTTCTGTCCCTCATCCACTCTGGGTCTGCAGAAAATGTCCATTTTACTATAAAGTTTTCACAGCATCCCTAAAAAAACAAGTCACTTAAAATTTCAAATCCTGGATCCATGGCATTCATTATTTTAGTTGCGTGCTTGCTTGTTTATAACTGTAGCTATTTAGATATGTTTTTAAAGATCTAATTAAAATTTGTGTTGTGGGATTAATGACATTTGAAAAGAAAAGCAATACTCACAGATCATAGGCTGAGTAAGTTTTAATCCTGTTTGCTTGACTCCAATTGAATTGTTAATTTCATGAATCAGCAGTCTTAGCTCCACTATATTTACAGTAGGTGGGTGTTGAATCCTCCAAATCAAAAATCATCAGCAACACAGTGTTCTATTGTTGAACTGCTCTCACAATCAAACCTAAAATCAAAAAGAAATAACTCTGGTCTCCCCGGATATTTCCCTCCCTCCAAAGGAAGTGATGTCCGTGGATGAGGAGAGCACATCCTGCTACTGTCTGCTGGAGGCCCAGAGGTGCCACGTGTTGTTGGAGCATCCAGGCCGCTACGCCCTGGTGGGGGAGCCACTGAACCAGGAGGTGGCCAAGCGGCTGAGGCTGGCTGTGTTTGGAAGTCTGGATACAAGCAACTCTCTGGGCTTCACCCTCAGGGTTTACTGTGTGGACGACACGCCCCATGCTTTTCAGGTACGAGGTAGAGAGAAATGGTAAAGAACCAGGAATGACTTGATGAAAATGTTACTTAGTTGCTTCCAAATTAGGTTTTGTCTTGTTAAATCTACAGAGCCATTGCATTTATTTTTCTTGAAACCTTTTTACCTAAGGGGTCACGAAACATCTATATAAAAGGATAAAAAGCACAAAAAGAAGTTTTTAATACTAAGAAATACAATCCACCATGGCCATCTTGTGCTTTCGGATCCAGAGTCTGACTAGTGACCATGGAGTGGAGCTTCAGTACTGATATCCCACTGAGACACAAGCTTGACCACTCGTCGGTCAGTCTCAGCTGTCAATCTTCAGGTTCCACCCTGTTTTCAAAGCATCAAATAAAACATTTAAACCAAAATTTACCAGAAAAACTTACACTTGACAATACATCAATGTGAACTGCCTGAAATGACAGATACCATCTTTGAGAAAAATGTATTTGACATGTATTTTGACCTTATAGTTTGGTCAATGGGCCACCCACTAACATGGAGAAGATGGGGTTTATGACCAATACTGCAGCCAGCCACCAGGGGGCGAATCAAGATTGTTTGGCTTCACTTCTTAAAATACAGTCTAATGCCTGTAAATTGGCACAGCATTGTGGCGTCATGCCGATATTTAGTTGGTAACATTTACTATTATCACTATCCTAGCTTAAAAATATATGCAATTAGCACTAAACACAAAGTGCAGCTGGTTGTCAATGTTAATGCAGGTATTTGGTCACAAATTTGTGACATTTTAATCAAATCTACAAAATATCAACCTCCTTGCGGCATAACTTAGAGGTAAAATCAGTTGGATGTATCATCTGGGAACCATGAATGTCTGTATGAAATGAATCAATGGAAATCCATGTCTCACTTGTTGAGATATTTCAGTCTGGGCAAACATGCTGGTCAGACCAACGCACCAGTATGACCAACCACATAGCCACACTGAGAGGAGATCATTATTAAACTCTGTCTGACTGAGTGATTTTTATTTGTGTATTACTGATAACAGCAACAGTTACTTTTATATTAATACTAACAATAATACATAATAGTTAGCAACAACAGTTCATTTTATAGTAATAAGAAGAAGAAGAAGAAGAAGAAGAATACATAATAGTTGTCGTCTTGATCCTGCAGCTCTGGAGTCAGATCCCTGCAGGATATGAGAGAGACAACCACTAATGAGGCTCAAATGTACATATATTCAACAGAGTTCTAGTGACACATAGTGATTGGTCAGCGTTGCTTGTGAAGAGCTGCAGTCTGAGTGTTTTCGTGCTCCACTGAAGATGCCTGTTCACTAACATTGCCATTGGGAGATGCTTGATGACTTGGAGACAATGAGGGACTTTTAATTACAAAGACAACAGATGCTCCGAGGTTGCTCCTCTGCCCTTTCTTTGTGTAATTTAATTTGCTCTCTGCTAATTAAACGTGTTTCGGGATTGCTTTCCATGCAACAAGTATGTGAAGACATTCAAATGTTTCTCAGTTGCAGCGCCACTTCATCTCCGTGCTCCTCTGCAGTGTTTAGTGAATGGTTTGCCCTTCTGCTTTTAGTGTGGGCTCACACACCCACACTAGTACACACAGTAATACACACACATCTTTTTGTTCAAAGGCTCTGGAGCCAAAAAAGTACAAACTTTTTGCAAGAGTAATTTCTTTCCTTTCTTAATTAAACACTTTTAGTAGTGGTAGTGCTGCTAGTTTTCCCACAAAAACACAGTCCTGCTCCACTTGAGCCTTCATTCAAAATGTAGAGTTGCAAGTGAACAAAGAGAAATTGGATGGTGGTGCCAAGAGCCAATTCACTTCAGCTCTCCATCAGTCAGACGTGGTTATTTGTTCATTTGTTCTTTTTTTTGTTGGCTTTTGTTTGGGCTTCATACGACAATTAATTTCCCCTGTGAGCTTGAAGCAGGAATCGATCAGGTTGGAGCCAGCCTGTACTTTGCATTTCCCTCCTCTGTGTGCTGCGTGACTGATAAGCACCACTCACGCAGGACTCACAGCCACAGCCCTCGATCCTGTATCCCCAAGATACAGAGGATCTAAACACAATCGTGCACGTACATACAGACGCGTACATACATACATGCATGTGTTTTTCTTCTCCAAAGATCTGGAACATTTACTTCACTAGGCAGGAAGACAGAAACCACAACAAGATAGATTTTCTTTGTTTATGCCTCCTCTTAGTGTCGAAACAATATTTTCTCTCCTCATCTTATTGTGAGGCTCTAGCTGTGTCGGTTTGTCGCTAATGTGTCGGTTTTTGATGTGTGGCTGGTTACCTGTTGTGAGCAGCAGCGACTCTGTGGGGGGGGGTGATTCAACTTTTAAGGCACAATCACTGTGGGTGTATTTCTTGAAAGCTTAAAGGTCCAGTGTGTAAGATTTAGGTGAAAGGGAACTATTGGCAGAAATTTAATGTAGAATAATCCTCATGATGTTTTCACTAGTTCATTTCATCTAAATTGTATAAATTGTAGTTTTCTTTACCCCAGAAAAGACCCTTTATATTTAAATACTTTATATTTACATCTAGGGACCCTCTCTACGGAGGCCGCCATGTTTTTTACATTAGTCCAGACTGGACAAACTAAACACCTTTTGAGTTTTTATGACAACTGAAGTTCACCACAGGATCTTTTTCATGTTTGGAAGGAGAGGGAGAGGTGAGGGGTGTTCAGCTGCAACATGCAACTTCAACACTAGATATCACTAAATTCTTCACACTGTACCTTTAAAGATGCACAGCACACAACACAGCTGTTCTTTTTTTGTGTTTACCTTATTTATTTATTTACATCATTCACGTCACAGTACAGGATTGAAAAATTGAGGTTTCCAAGGTGCACACCAAACATGCAGATCTTTTAAAAGCCAAAAAAACATTTCTCTAAAAGCACATGAGATTGGCGTATTATCTTAAATTAATTGCTGTTTATGTGTATGTGTCTTTCATTTTTCCCAGTAATATGGACACATTTCTGACATGAAAATGGGGAACAGTACTTGCTGAGTATAGCCTATTCCCTTAAGCAACAATCTTTGACATCATTATGGCAGAGTCTCAGTGTTTCTCTCATTGAAGGAGGCTCTGATTGGATCAGTGGACCTGTTCTCCCTATTAAATACTTGTAAAAATATGAAAAACAATGTGAACATGTGACAATGATGCATTGTAAAAATGTAGTGGAGTAGAAAGTATAGATTTTATATCTGCTGATATATGTAGTGGAGTGAAAAGTACCCAAAAATAAATCTACTTATGTAAAGTGCAGATGCATGAAAAATGTACTTAAGTACTTTTACAAAGTAAATGTACTTTGTCTACACCCCACCTCTGGAAATCACATCACAAACTCCTACAGCCTGGGATGCATGTTCTGCAGTAAATGCTCATTTGGTCCAGATCATCAGTCTGACTGACCCACAGAGATTCAGAGAAGAAGCTTTCAATGATTAAAAGATATTAGCTGTATTTATTGTTTGAATTATTTTTTTAAATGGGCTGTCACCACGTTATCTAATGAAATTGTTCAGCTCTTCTGTCATCTGTGTTTGTTTGTGAGTGACGAATCAATAGAAACATTTTGCTGTCCATGAACTACTTGTTTGCTGTAGTTCCAGCCTGGTACAGTGAGTTTAAATCATCCTCTGCTTCCCTAACACCCCCCGGGTCCCGCCTCCCTGGATAAAAAAACCAACCAACACCTTTCTTTAACAGGAGGTGGTGGTGGGTGAGCGCAGCAGGGGCGGGCGACTACTGGAGGAGCCGAAAATGATGCTGTTCAGGGGGAACACTTTCAGCCTCCAGGTTTCCATCCAGGACGTCCCACAGTTACTCTGGAGCATCAAACCTTTCACCACCTGCCAGGTAGGCGACTCCTAGCTGTGAGTTTTTGTCATTTTGAGTTAAGCAATGGAAAGCGGCACATGGGTTTACTGCACGCATATCATCGTTCTCATTTAAACCGAGCAGCACTTGGTTGGGGATCACACAGCAGTGCACCTTCATCTTCTCTGTCTGTTCCTCTTTTAGATCCTGTCTCCTCCACCAGTTTCCCCGTCTCTCACTTGGTCGTATCAAAGCCAGAGGACAGCAGCAAGGGCACAGCATGATATCACTAAGACTAGCTATCTCACCCACACACACGCCCATACAAATTTAATTATGACTGCCAGGCAGGCACACACATGCACATCTTATAGTTATCGTCCTAGGGGTCTACATGCTGCATGTTCTGCCCTGTGATGTTTATCCCACCAGTGACATCCTATTAGCAGAATTAACCCACTGTAGTGCCTCTAGAATACCAACAAGGTTTCCTTGTGGAGGGGGAGAGTTGATGTACGAGGGTCCTACAGGGAAGATGACTATAGGTTTCATTCAGACACTGCTCTCGCTGGAAGGAGGCTCTTTCCATGCCACCATTCTCCTGTCTGATGGCTGAGGAGAGGGGATGATTCATCTGTAAAACAGTGTTTTTGACCCGCTCTCTCTGCAGCACAGTGCGGGTCACACAGTAGTTAGTAAATGGATGTCAAAATTGCCCCTTTTCAAATTCCGCTTGCTCCAAGGCTCTGTTACTTTTTTGAGTTTCTCAGTTGTCACATTTGGAAATATGGAGATGGAGTGCAAACTGGGTAACTGTAGTCGTCTCTGCCCCAGTTCCATAATCACATTACAGCTCCTGATCTAACAGATTGACATTTCCAATCTCCATGTTATCAGAATATGGAAAAAAGACAAGCAGTAAATATGTCTTGGAGAGTTGGACTTTAAATCTGTGGGTTTTACTTTCGCTCAAATAATCCTCTGATTATTTTATATCAGTGCACAGCCTATTGTTGCTAATAATGTGGGTCTGTTATAAAAATAGATCTAATGATTGCATGTAAAATTAACCACACTAACTTCATTTTCCCGAGCAGCAGTGGGTAAAATAACATGTAATTAATTAAATTTGTGCACAGATGACTCTTCCAGAACACGATACGTTTCTGTCCCAAAGGACTCTAACGGCTGCTGGTGTTCTCTCTGACGGGGAAACCGCTTGATTAGGCGAGATCATTGATTGGCTAAAGAGGCCACTCATTCGCTCTTAATTAATCATGTACACAGCAAAGTGGGCGGCGAAGCAGGATTTAAATAACGAACGTCTTTAGCAGGGATTTAATGAGTTTGTTGTCTCCTCTGTCTAATGCTTTCATCGCTCTCCCTGTTCGTCCCCGCACGCTCCCCCCTCTCCCTCTCCCTCTCTCTCTCTCTCTCTCTCATCGCCCTGCAGGAGTTCTCCTTTTCTCAGGTGTGGGCCAGTAACCAGCGTCCCCTGCAGTGTGCCTTCTCTTTGGAGCGATACAGCCACTCCACGTCCCAGCTCTCCTGCAAGATCAGCGTGCGACAGGTCAAAGGTGAAGAGCAGATACTCCAGGTCTACACGTCTGTGGTGGAGGTGAGTGTGAAGCACTCGTGGAGACGGCATGTGCTCGTTGTGTGGGCAGTCGTGCGGCTTGTTAATAGGCTCTTTTATCGGACTGGATAACTCTTGATTTGATTTAAGGACTTGCTTAATGAGCCTCTCAGGGAACTTTTCATGTATAGATTGCAAATTGTCTTGATAAGTCCTTGTCCTTGTCTTCATATTGAGGTGCGGGGAATTTGAGCTGCAGTATCAGTATCACCCTGACACCTTGTTCTTTCTTTCTGTCTGCGCTACCAGAATGAGAAGGGAGTGGTTCCCTTCTTCACTCAGTCAGACTGCACCATCACCTCTCAGACAGGGTCAAGGGCCTTTAAAATCCCCCCGTCGATCCGTCAGCGGATCAGTGCCACCTTTGACACCGCTAATGCCAAGGGGAAGGACTGGCAGCTCTTGGCTCAGAAGCTCCACATAGACAGGTATGAGTTATAGCACTCTGAGACCTCCACACCTATTGCTCACTTTCTCATTGTGTGGTTGCCATCAGGGTTGGGTACGAGGTGAGGTTCTTACCAGGTGGGGCCTACACACAGATTCTGGTGCCTGAGCTATGTTGCCCTGTTTACAGGCAAATATCACGTGCCTAGTTCACATGCACTTAACTAAGGTGGCAGCACACTCTCTACATGGTGCCGGCAGCACATGACATTAGCCTACAGTTAGATTGTAGCTACCTCAAACTTGGGTCGACACAACAACAACATTTTTCCGGCAGCTGGGCGTGCATTCAATGTCTAAGCAATGGCCGAGAGCCAAGGTAGCAACGGCTTGTTGAGTTGGTTGCAGTCTGCACCTCATTGTTTACGATCCGCCGGTAAACTGAGAGAAAGAAGAAGGAAGAGAGGAACACAACAAACGTAATGAAGCACCTGGTGACACACAGTTGCATGTTAAGGAGGGGGATCCACCGTGTTTGACTGCTTACATGAGCCCATGTCAAGCAAATGAGCCGGCGGTGTGGGCATCGCTGCCCCCGGTGGTGAGGAGATGATTAATGAGGAGTTTGGAGCTAGAGTATTTGACTGTATGAATCTCTGCAACTGGTATTTAGTGTTAAATAATTGTAAATGTGTTTATTCATTATGTGATGTTGTCATATAAATGTATTAAGAGTTTTGCACTCATTTAGACATTAAACTTAAGTCTACTTATAGTAAAAATAAAAGTTTCCTTTGTCGTTAAACCAACCCAACCCCAGTTTACTGCCGAGTCATGTATGCATTGCACAATGATTCAGCTCATGTGTTTTGTTCAGGTGTTAATACAGAATCAGTGAATGACTGGAAAGAATAAATTCTGCACTCTCTGCTCTCCCTCCGCTGTGTAAACGCTGTTCCCACTTTGAATACTATTTTTAATCTGGAATTTTGGGGCCGTGTCGGCCTTAATCTTCCATCAGCAAGCAGCCTTCAGTAACCCGCCACGTTGCTGATTTCATTATAGATCTAGAAACACATGCAGAGGGAGGGAGGAAGGGAGGGAGGGAGGAAGGGACCGACTAACTGCAGAGAAGAGGCTGTGTTTTTGCTCAAATCTGAAGGAGGGTCTCAGACCGCTGACAGGTCGGCCTCTGGCCAGAAACTGTGTTCATGTTAGCGCTCCTCATTAGCAGTAGATCTGCATGTGCTCCATCCTCTGACTAAACCCTGCAGAGGTTGAGCCAGGTCAGTGTTTGCATAGGCTGTTGAAGGATTTTAGTTGTTTGGTGATGGCCTGATCTCTATTTGAGCTTGAGAGGGGAAGTCAATAATCAAGTGCTCATAGCAGTACGTCTTCTCTCTGCCTTACGAGGGAAAAGTTTCCCAAGAAACTGTGACAGAAACTGTGATAAAAAAGACAAACACTGGTGACTGAGGAGTGGGAGGGGATTTAAGATCTTTTCAGCCTAATAGAAAACACACCTGGAAAACATTTTTGTACTTAGTTGAGCTGATTTGTGAAATTATGTCTCTGAATGTGTGGGAACACGGAGGAGGGATCCAAAAGGAAAAGTGAGTCGAGGGCAACAAAGAAAATCCCCATTTTAATGAAACACTGCACTCTGTTGGTTAGGACTAATAACAACAGCAGAGGAAAATCTCACCACAGACTGTAACTGAATGTGATTGGACCATTACTGTCAGCCTAGAGACATTTCTCTGTAGTTTTATATTTTAGTTTTATTTTTTTAGATTTTATTTTGTACTTTCACTTGCTCTCTTGTCTACCTTGTTTTTAACTGTGCTGCTGTGACAAGTACATTTCCCTGACATGGAATGAATGAATCTTATCTTATATGAGTTCCGGTTACAAAATGAATTACTTTTAAATATTTTGCATTTTTTGAAATGTAGTTTTTGCACAGCTGTGTTCAGGCATTGAAATGAACAGTTTTATACAAGTTTTGTATTTGCATCTTTTCACAGTGGCCAACATGTGACAGACATTATTATGGAGCAAGGAAAATTCATATCTACAAATTTTATTTTTGCACGGCAATACAACTATTGCTCAGGCTCATTCTTTATTAGGACATCTGCATAGTAAAGCATGATATAAAATATTTAATCAAAGTCCTTTCACCGTGCAGAGTGCGCCTAAATCTAACCTTAAGCTGTGTACATACAAGCAAGATCATTTCTGATTCGCAAGTTGTTTTAAACCTCTGAGTGCAGAGCGGTAGAAGTGTCTGTGAAGTCAGGTGAATCTTTTATCCGGCAGTGAAACATATTTTGCATATTCATTTTCATACATTGGTATAGCATAATAAACTGTTATTCCAAGAGAGACAAACATTTACATATCCAGGAGATATTTGATATTATTTATTTGAATTGTCAAGGAGACAAGTAACCTGAACATGTATTAATTAAAAGTATTTTAAGGTCAGGTTACGTGTAAACTGACAGCAACCACTACATTCAAAGTTCAGTTTACTTCGATCAGGAGAGAATTCCGTTGAAGAATGAACAAAATGTATTTTCATATCCTGTAAGAGATGAAAGTGATGTTATATAAATGAGTCAATACGCACTAAGACCCTTTATGATGTCATCAAGGTAGTAAGGGGTGTGGCTACATGAAATAGTAAACCCCTTGGGGTCTAGACACTGGTGGCTGATGGGATCTAGAGAATGTTGAGGATCTAAATGAGATGAATGGAGGCTGGGTGTGACTGGGGAGGAGGGAGGGAATCACTGAGACAACAGCTGACAGCAAGAGAGACGAGAACAGATTTAGACTTTGACAGCAATGATATGATTGGCTGATTGACGTCATGGTAAAATCTGATTGTCTTACACCCAACGGAGAGTGATTGAGAATTGTGAATGAACAAGACATAGAGAAAGTGAATCCTTCTTTTGTCTCGAGGAGAAAATGAGAATAACTGTATGATGTATTTTGGTCTCAGCAGTTCCTCCATGTCATCAACTCTAATATTCTTTTTTTATCCTGTGGCATAGGAACCTGTGCTACTTTGCTTGTCAGGAGAGTCCCTCATCTGTGATTCTGAGTCTTTGGGAAGCTCAGCACCAGGACTCAGGGGATCTGGACTCTCTGGCCAGCGCCCTGGAGGAAATTGGCAAGGTCCAGTCCCCCACGTCCGCTACACTTGGCTGCAGCAGAGACGAGCGGGACTCTGGATTCACGAAACTTGGGTAGGGCAGGTCTATAGCAGGTTGAATCTTGATGAACCTGTACTGCATGAACACTGATGATCGGGTGTGTTAGCTAACACACAGAGGTGAGGTGGAGGAAAGAGGACAGCAGGGAAACTCAGTTTTTTAGACTGTTACTAAAGGGACATTTCTGAAATGGCACATACAGACACACAGGAAACGTGGATCAACAGTGGGGGAGTGTTTGAGTTATCGAGAGGCACCAACAAAAACTTTCTGGATAGGATGGAAGTATCCCACACCCGTCTTTGATTGAAAACTGTCAGCTCCTCGACACTTCGTTCAATAACCTCTATTAAAGGATTATGGGTATCTGTGTGAGGTGAACTCTCCATGTGGGATGGAGCGTGTTGTAGACAGACTGCCAATCAGTCTGGTGTTATGACCTTCCCAGGAGCAGATGTGTTGACACCTGCCGTCAAACAGTCTTCTGGGCTGTCAAAATGTTTAGTGTAACGTCGTTATGTTGTCATTCATTTTATAGATCTCCTCTTGCTTCGTTTTCTTTTCTGCGCTGTCTCTGCTGGAGTTAGGTGAAAAAAAAAATCGTATCCAAACTATACGGTCAGAGACACTGATAGTGATGGTCCACACTGATCAGGATTTAAATGATCTGATGATGTCCACAAGCTAATAAACAGGCACAATGACATATAAGAAATTACTTTTAAAGGTTTCCCACATTGACATGAATCACACAAACAATTCAGCAAACATCCTCATGCGCACGGAAGAACATTTTCAACCCCATCAACATAACACGTAAAGGCTACAGAGGAGAATAACTCTTTTAGACATGCACTGAACTCCAGATAATCTCCAGACATTCTCCAGAGGAGCTGTATGTGTGGAGGCAAATGTCCATGTTTCTCCAGCCCGCCCCCTGGTAAAAACTGAGAATGTTTGAAAGAGCCGATGCAGGAGCTTCTCTGCGGAATTCCCCCGTGAGCGAGTGGGTTTACTGATGATGCTTTTGACACGTAACTGGCACAAAACAACAAAATGAATTAATAAATATCTCAGGAGGACTAGACACTGCAGACACTGATGAAGACTTCAAGAGAGTTTTTGGGGATAAGGGCTGATTCCGGTCTTTATGTCACCTCAACAAAAACGAGATTTCCACAGCTGAATTTATATTGTACATCCCGCTCTGCCACATCTGAGCGGAGAATCTCCTGCTGTGTTGTTCATGTGTGAAAGACAAACTATGGAGAAAGTCCGGACGCAGTTCTCTGCACATCTTCCAGAGTTCATGTCTGAAAATGGCTTTAACCCGCTGATCTGTTCTGCGTATAGCAACACAGACAACTTCCGGTTCTTTTTTAAGGAAATTAGTTAATGAGTCGATCTAATTCTTTGGTTTACCTTTATTTTTTGATCTAAATCCTGACTTGTAATATTCTGTGGCTTAACTGGAGCTGACATTTCTGGATCGCAGCTCGGCACAAATACTCAGACATTGTTTGAAGACACTTCACAAGCGGAGGGTGTTAGACGACCGAGGAGAGGGAGAGAGAGTTGAAGATACCCTAAAATACAGGAGGATCCCCACGTTCAGTCGCTCCATGCGCCCTAATCTTAATAAAGTGACTTTGTGTTGAACTCTGTGTTGGCTCTCTCTTTTCCTCTCCCTAATGAATTCAAGTCTTGAAAGGCCCAAGATCAGCCACAGCAAAAACTGTTTTCATCAAAGAGATGAAACAGAGACCCATGCAAAGTCCAATTTTCAGAAAGATGTAACAGTTCAAGTCTGAGTTGGCTTTACCAATTGACCGTGTTGATGTTGCAGTTTTGCGTGTCTAAGAAGCTTCTTTCCAATGTGCCTGAGAGTCTGTTCGTGTCAACCCTTGAAATTGGATTAAATCAGTCACCAATGTGAAACAATGTCACTGTCATTCCTTCCTCAGATTTATTATTAAAGGCTTATTTTGACATTTTGGGAAAAAAAGCTATTTGTTTTAGTGCTTATAGAGTTAGATGACGATGCTACATGTTAGCTTAGCATAAAGACAACTGGGGGAGCAGTGGTGCCTGGTCCAACGGTCCAAATCTCCCTGAAGTTAAACTAAGTGATTAACATGTGGAACCTAATTTGTTTAATCCATATAAAACTAGTGTGTAACTAGAATGTCTCAGTAGACTAATACCGCCAAGGCCCAACTGTCCCCTCATGGAGCTACATTTAACTTCTCTAGCTCCAGATTTGTATCAAATTTTATCAGTTTTATCAAAATCCAGGGATTATTCCCTGAGAAATAAATGAAAATGTTGAAAAACGTCCCATTGCACAATTTCAAAGAAAGTACAAAATAAAATCTGGGCCCGCCCCCTGATCTGAATCTGCACCAAAATGATATCTGTTCATCCGTTCATCAAACTTTTTACCTAATCCCGCTAACAGTAAACAGACGCATATGAACACATAGCCTCTTTGGCTGAGGCAGAAAAAACTATTTGCAACAACTTGGGGTTACGCGTGCAACTGTTTCTTAGGCCGGGTGCTAGGTCTCGCTTAGGAGAAGCTTAGGATGAGATGCATTCAAACCTGGAACATACTGAATCACATGTTATTGTCACATGCATGACATGACAAATGCCCTGACAGTGATTCCGACCAGTATGTTTTGTTACCCCTGCAACTTTTCCTTAAGAAAATGCATAATTCCCCAGCTGAAATCTGATTGGCCCCTGAAGTGCCCCTGTCTCGTCAGTAATCACTTACTAACAATACTGACTAATATGGTGATTTATAAATTTAAATTTTCTAACCTTTTTAGAGTTCCACAATGACCTTGAACAACGAACAAGCTCTTTCCTCAAAGCTATAGAGCTAACAGTAAACAAGACATGACTTAGAGGTTGGACATATAATTAGCCCCTCCTTGTAAATTGTGGCCCCTTGCACCACTTGATTCAGACAAATCCTAGATCAGCCACTGTGATGTATCATCGTTCATCACAGACTTAACGATATCACCCTGTGTGGTAAATCAGCTCTGGTATCATCAGATTTTCTCTATACTTTCCGATGTGTTTACAGATGTAGCTGAGCTTCAGATGGTATCAGTCAGGTTTCCTGAAGGGAGACAACACTTCATTCCAGCTGTGTGCACAGACCTTTTAGAGGCAGGCAGAGGGAGTAACAAAGAACTGAAGCTAGCACACTGAATTAATCAGAAGCGAAGCCAAAGATGGGACTCTCCTTGGAGCGGGCACTCAGACGGGTGCTGTTCACGCCTTCATACACGGTACAGGAAAATATCAAAACCCCTTTCAACAACTTAGAAGTTATTCTAGTCGACAGAGAGCTCAAGAAGGAAATTCATCCTGACAACCGCCCTGTTGAGCGTCTCAACAAGGATCAGAACGCTGCAGGAGATGTTTGAAAGCTGATGGTCTACTGAGAAACCAAACTACCATTACATATAAAGAACTGGACTCTGAGACATGATGGAAATATCGTCCTGAAGAGAGTGGGCGTAGCCGAGGCTTTATGGCACCACATCACTCCAGACCACCTCGGTGCCAGTGGACGGCAGCCGTTTTTTCCGCATAATAGTATATAACATGCTGCTCTGCACATATGATCAGTGTTACACCCCGTACTCTAATTTACAGTGATTTCCATTCAGGGGAGGAACCACACTTTGCTATGCAGCTTGAAACAAACAGTTATGATGTTTTGATTTACGCCGCCTCGTAAAGACTTCATGGAGCCCATTATAGAGTTGACGATTTCATGTAGATTTTTTATTTTAAGGCCCTGAAATTGGCTTTTTGGCTCAAGGCTTGGACAGAAAAGACATATGGTGCCAAAATTCAGTTTTCTGTTCGCAAGGAGAATTAGATTTTGTTTTCCCCCTTTACACTGCTGTGTCATTTCCCTGCCCTCTCATCCACGTACATACAGAAGCAACATTTTATTAGGAACTGATTTATTGTGTTCTACATCACAAAAAATCACAGTTTTCTAACTAATTATGCCTCTCTGTGGGTTTTGTGTCATCAGAAAGTCTGACCAGAATGTTTTTTTGATTATTATATACTATTTTAAATAAAACAATATGCTATAGAGTTCATCACCACAAACGGTGCCCAACTTGTAAACACTGCAGATGTGTTTCCTAACAAATCTGAAGCATTTTAACCTGTTGTCTCTGATGCTATGAAAATTATCTCATTTGATCATCTGTCACCTGAGGATGCTCAGTGTTTCCGTCTGCGTCCTTTACTCCTAGTGTGTGTGTGTGTGTGTGTGTGTGTGNTAGATTGTTTGCTCGAGTAGTCGATTAAAATGTTCACAGACGAGATGTTTTCTTCTTTCTGCTCCTTTTCATTCAAGATCTGAGATTTCTGTGTTTGCATTTAAATTGTTTTGGTCGATGAACGATGTAAACTTATGAATGAATAAAACACGTTTCTAATCATTTAGGATCACATAAAGAAAACAAGTGCACACACACACACACACAAACTAAACATATCATGAACTAAAGTCCTGAAACAGTTTTTAATAATATACCAGATGACACTCACTCATATTTTCAAAGATAAAGCAGATTCTTTTTTATACAGTTTTGTTTGTGAAGCTGATTAAAGAGTTGTACTTGTGACTTTGACCAATGCGTCCATCTAGTGGTGAAACGTGGTACAACATTTCAATGGTTGAGTGTGTCCTGTTTTAAAAAACTTAAATAGCCCCTTTCCTTTGCATTAATGTGCCTGTGCCTGTGTGTGTGTGTGTGTGTGTGTGTGTGTGTGTGTGTGTGTGTGTGTGTGTGTGTGTGTGTGTGTGTGTGTGTGTGTGTGTGAGTGCAAGAAGGAAAGTTGTGTTTTACTTTTCAAAAGCCCTGTCACATGTCCTTGAAAAATCCGGCTTACAGTAGTGCTACTATTTGTAGTACACTACTGTACTATTATTCAGATGTGTGATGTAATGAATTTTTTTTTTTTCCTGATGCTAATTTCTGAAGATCTGCATTGCTTTGGAGGAAATAGAAAACAATGCTCACCTAAGTAAAAATGTCACAAGTTTTATTTTTTAACCTTTATTTTTTTTAGTTGCCATTCCCACTTGTGTTTTTCTTTCCAGGAAGGAAAGAACTTGCCTTCATGTGACGCTAAAAAAACGAAACCGCTGGAAAAGTTGAGAATTGTTTTATTCTTTAGATAATTGTCTATACTGTGTGACACGTTTATGTATGTTTGATTTGAAACATCTGGTTGCATTCTCTGTACTCAACATTTGATTGAAGTGTTATATGAATGTTTGTGTTAAGAAGGTAAAACGTGACAGCCATACTGCTCATCATTGGTGACGTTCTCTTATACAGTCAAGTTCTTTTTCTTTTCTTTTTCAAAGGTTTGCTATTTTGAAAATGTACATATACTGTATTGTGTTGAAATAAATATGCAGTGAAAACATATGATTTACACTTTCGCTGTGGTTTATACGTCACACTTTCCATCCAGATTATATTTATTCTTTTTTACGTAGCGCTCTGCACAGTGGGTGTAACCAGGATTGACTTTCACTAATTCTGGCCAACTGCAGAATAAACTCTTCTTCTCGTTCTCCAGCATTTAAGGTGTGGACTTTCATAAATCTCCATTTTGAAGATTTAATTTATGTGATATATGAGGCATTTATCACGAAAAAAAAACCTGGAGTCTGCAGCCATGCAGTCCTGATTCTTTGAGGTACAGTGATGCCAGCAGTAAAAAACTGTATCCATCCCTCCATCCATTCATCTTCTGTACCGCTTGTCCTTCAACGGTCGCAGCGGGGGAGGGGGGGGGGGCTGGCATTGGGCAAGAGGCGGGTTTCGCCCTGGACATGTTGAGGTTACAATTCTTTAAAATAGGACAAATAGAACAATATAAGCACATGAGAGTCCCATTCCAGTATCGTAATTCCATACACCCGTGCTTGATAAAAGTGTCAAATACAATGAGATCTAAATCAAATATACTGTTTATGTCATGATAAGTCCACTAAGCACTAACAGGTTGAGAGCTTGTAGTGCCTTTCGTGCAAAGTTGGAACACCATGCACTTAACAGTCAAAATACAATACAACAGAGGAAATGCAACACCACAGCAGTAAAGTGAGTGATTGTCTTAATAAAATAAAGTAAAAATACATAGATAAGATTAATTTGAAATACAAGAAGTTATTAAAATGCTATGATGTTGTAGATTCAATTTTAAATGTGTAGGATTGCCTTTATTGACCCATAATCTTCACTCAATAATGAAATTCTTCTTGTTTACATTCAGACATTTGTAGCTGTGACACTCTATGTTCAGGTGAATCTGCTGAGACGTTCCTACAACTTTGATCCGAGTCCACCCAAGGAGGACTGAATTGATTGGACTGAAGCTGTGTCTCAATTCAGACTGATTGCATCACAGCATCCGGCTAAACTGTCCCAATTTGAAGGCTCCGACAAATGCGTCCTTCCTTCCCCCGAGCGATGGATGTCACACCAGGTGGATCCTTTCTGCCCAACCTATCCCAGGATTCATTGCGCTTCAATGAAAAATGCTTTTCAGAGAGGTTATGGTGGCAGCAAGTGAGATGTCGGACTTTAGCTTATTATCTTAAAAACTAATTCCTAATGTTTTAAGAGATGATGTCACTGCTCCATGATTTCTTGCATTTCCACCATTCCATGTATATTTATAAATCTTGTTTCTCTCTTTTTTAAATCTAAGATCGTAACTTCTGCCTTTTATTTTGTATTCGTGTTCCATATTGTCCTTTGTACTGTTCTGTTTCCCTCGACCTAAATTTAAACTTACTCTGAGAACATAAGGGAAAAGATTCTCTTATTGAATGAGGCAAAAAACTTTACCCTTCAGGCATCAGTCCAAACACAATATATCTGACAAACAACAGGCGCCGCTCAGGGCCTGAGGAATGCCATCCCACAGTGAAGCATGGTGGAGGCTATTGTGATGCTTCACATAAGCAGATATAGGGAGAGGGTAGGATGAATGCATCCAAATACAGAGAGGTCTTTGAATTAAACCTGCTCCAGAGTGTGACCTGGGACTGGAGGCGCTGTTCAACCTTCAGCACGACAAACACCCCGAAGCATACAACCAAGACGGCGCTGGGGACAATCCCGTGACTGTGCTTGAATGGCACATTCAAAAATTGAAGTTATCTACTATGCCGATGGAGGGGTGGGTGAAGTGTTTGAGTCCACAAAACACTTTTGGAGTCTCAGGGGTACAGTGTTGAAGCCAAATCCAAAAAACCACAGGAAAAAATGTTAAAACCCTCCATACTACTCCTGTGGTGTCATTAAAGTCTCCATAAGCCCCAACATTCATATTCAACTCGACATGGCGTCATTTACACCATGTTTTTAGTTTAAATGTCCTCTGATATCCTCCTCGGGTGCACGTTCACCTACTCATGGACACACCGGAAAACCGCACACACTCTCACCCAAGGACACACGCTACGTCCACTAGCATCGCTGCTTCCGGTTGTGGACTTTTACTAATGTCAGGGCTTCCAGACACTTGGATGACACCACAGGAGCAGTTGTTTTATTACATTTAAAGAATTGCTCACCAGTTACTTCAATTGTATTGGATTTGACTGCAACCCTGTTTACCCCTGAAACTCCAAAAGTGTTTTGTGGACTCTAACACAGTTCACCCACCCCTCCATCGGGGTGAGAAGATAATAAGTACATTTATATTCTTTGGTGGACTACCCCTTAAATGTACATGTATGATAAAAATCCACCAGCCTCATTAATAACTGGTTAATATTTTCCAGACGTTAGCAACAATTAAATCTCAAACAGCAGATGGCACTGTGTGCTTTCTTCTTAGTATAGGTTATCTTATAGGCATGTCTAGACATTCTCTGTGTGTGTGTGTGTGCGTGCGTGCGTGCGTGCGTGCGTGTGTGTGTGCGTGTGTGTGCACATTTGTGCATCTGTGGGTTGTTTCCATGGCATGAGGTAGTCACTCAGACTTGCATGTGTGCCCTTTCACAGTTTGGGTAGGGTCCAGTCAGGCCTGGCACTCAGCAGCCAGCTACACCCCGTCTGACAACGCCAAATGTAAGACTCTCATTCCAGTTCTGCCACAGTGTGTAACACAAGTGAAGTTTGATTAAAGCAAATGACAGATATAATATACTAACTTTATACATAGTACCTTTCCCAAGGTAGAGCATGAATAGTTAAGTTAATGTTTAACTATTCTACCTTCTGTAGATTAGTATGGTCACTCATCCATGCAAACCATGCCAGGCCGGATGTCATCTGTCCCAGAAAGGCAAACAGGCAGGTTACAGTCTGTTTCAGTAGATCTCCCTCTCTCTCTCTCTCTCTCTCTCTCTCTCTCTTCCCCTTCAGACGCTACACACACATCCCTGGCACAACCAGAGCCCTCTCACCCAGTCCCACACGCCCCACCCTGCGCTCGCCTCTGGACAACTGCTCTGACTCAAATGGATTAAAGATGACTCTCTTCTCTCACTCTCATGTTTTCAGTTTTTTTCACCCTCGCTCTTGACTTCTCCTTTTCTTTCCATGCCGGATGAAAGGCCTCCCAGACACCCACTCCATGCACATACCATTCAGGCCAGGACACACAGGAAGTCTATGTGCTGCGCGGAGAGGAGAAGGGCGGGGAGAGAGAGAGAGAGAGAGAGAGACAGAGTGGGGTGGGAAGTGGCGGAGGAAAGGAGAGGACGGTTGGGTAGGAGGGGGGGTTGTTTGGCACAGAGGGAGAAAGGGGGGAATGGGGGGGTAGAGTAGGGGTGGTGAAAAAAGGACTAAA